CAAGTAGACAATAATTTTCCGTAACTCTTTGAGGAACCTCGCGATTGATGATTGGAAAGAATGTTGCTTAAAACAATTAAAATAGATTCTATAACTGATATTTATATTATTTTATTAAAAATTTTTTTAATAATAAGCAATTGTATAAAAATATAATTTTTTTCTAAAATGACAAATGGAACAATATAAATACATATAAATATATTTTAGACCGATATTCACAGTCGATTCTTATATTTAAGACCATTTTAAGTTCAGCCTTAAGATGTCATAAATCAATCATTTAGCTATTAGTTTAGCATCTTAAGATATTAAGATGGTCTTGAAATAAAAATCGACTGTGAATATCGGTCTAAAATACATTTATATGTATTTATATTGTCCCATTTGTCATTTTAGAAAAAAATTATATTTTTATACAATTGCTTATTATTAAAAAAATTTTTATAAAATAATATAAATTAAACATATTTTTATATTTTCATTTTTAGTCAATCGGTGGATGCATCCGTCAATTCATTAACCTACAAAAAATTTCCAATAATAATTCACAAGCTCGTACATCTATAATTTTCTCTTAATTTTATTACACGCTAAATGAAATGTTTTGCTTAGCGGATTTCGATGAATCGTAACGTGATGCAACAGGAGTCATGATTGATTACCGGCTTGGATTCACAAAAAATTTAGTTGATCAAATACATTAGAGCTACATGCACACATGCGTGTTAATATTCGCATCAGATGAGCCTGTGCATGTATTGCATAACGTAAAAACATATTAAAGACCAATGGATTAAGATTTAACGAGGACATACGAGGTAAAGGATTTACGTGTAACCTTTAGCAGGGCTTATCTCTCAAAGTGCATTTGAAATTGCTCCTAGATTAATCCACGACTATTAACTCTGGAATTACGACAGCATCTGGACCATTGCAAATGGTACAATCGCGCGTTTCTCGACAAGCCAGTCTCGTAAATGCATTATTACAATCGTTGCGTTTGCATATCGAAAAACAAAATTCCGCAGAAAATTAACAATTAAGTCTCTCGTAACTTTCCTCACACGGGACGTAAATCATCCTTCGTGGCGGGCATTGAGTTGAGCGAGGAATTAATTATTAGATGATACTTTCCAGAAAGAGACGCAGTGTAACACAGTTATTAATATGATAATTTCATCTTTGTTTAACAGTAGCAAACGATAAGGATATAATGAGTCATTGTGTTACACTGTGTCATCTGTGGATGCCATCCAACAATTAGATAGACACGGTATCTTTGTGGTTTGCCAATGTTAAACAAAGATGAAACGATGACTGTGTTATACAGTGTCGCTTGTTGGAAGCTCTCACTGTCTCTTACTGGAAAGCACCCAGAGTTTCGATTGCGACCTGTTCAGGTGAAACCTCCCCAGCATCCGTCCCGAACATTCCAGCCTGACATTCTCGACTGCGCGTAACATGGTCGTTGTGCCATCGCTCGCCGTCCGGTCGACCGGTCGTTTAAGAATTTCGACACACGAACATGAAGATTTTGGCAACGCCGTGGACGATGATGGTAGGGCGTAATTTATATCGCACAATTCTGGCTATATATAATCGCCAGCTGATGTGGTACATCGAATCAGTTTAGTGAGCCATCTCCAGTCGGATCACCACTTGTTCTCTGAGAAAAAAGAACCTGTAGCCATGAAACTGGTGCGTGTTCTACAAAAAATCAGTAATGACATTTTCCAAAAGAGATAAACGAGTGTCGCTCTCTCGTCTAATTTTTGGGATAATCTCTCGGTGAATCTCGCGATGTGGTGATTTCTCGGAAACTTTCGCCTGTTCGGAACCTCGAGGATTACGAAATATCACACCGTCGTGTTATCAAGCGACACCAATTAAGGACATTATCATTTTCCAGAGGAATGTACAAAATATCTTGAGAATGTATTAGAATAACAGTTATATTATTGTCATCACGAGAGTTTTTATCTTGTGTTAAAGAGAGAAATATGCGTCTCATCTATCTATTTTATTAATTTATAAATTATTCTTTACATTTTTTTTATACTTTTACACGAAATTTGCGAAAAAAGGAATATATTGTAATTTTACAAGAATCAGAGAATAGGATCAGATTATCATAAGTTGCGAAAGAAGTGTAAAATTTATCAAAATATTATTTTATTACTAATGATTACGAATCGTCTCAGACAACGCAAAGTTTAAAAATTAGAATATAGATGTCTTAAACATATATTAACGAAAAGCGTAAGAAACATCTTAAAGACTTCTTGAAGACAAAGAAGTCTTTTATCTTGTATCCCAATTGTAGATTTCGAGTGGACTGGGATTTGATCCAGTCCACTCGAAATTTGTAATTGGGATACAAGACAAAAGACTTCTTTGTCTTCAAATCATTTCATTATTTTGCACGTTACTTTAGATCGTCGCCTTCGTCGCCGTCGTCGCCGTCGCCCTCGCGGCTCCCCCTCAAAACTACCATGATCAGGCGGTCATCGTGAAAGAGACTCCACTGGATAACATCGGCATCGACGGATACCAGTTTGGCTATGAGCTCTCCAACGGTCAGGCTCATCAAGAGTCAGCCCAATTGCAAAACGCTGGTCATGAAAACGAGGCACTTGTAGTCCGCGGTAGCTTCACTTACGTCGACCCGGAGACCAACGTCAGGTACACCGTCAACTACGTCGCCGACGAGAATGGATTCCACCCCGAGGGAGCGCATCTGCCAGTCGCCTAAATTCTGACGAGAATTCTACCTGCCAACCTCATAACTGTGTTCTTACAACTTTTCGTTCAGTCTCATATTTGAAGAGAACCTCAACCCTCTCGATTTCTCGATCATAGCGATCACACAGACAAATATGACAAACCTAGTTTTAAATAAATTGATTTTTATTTAATCCTTGGTGTCTAAATTATTCCACAACTCTTCGATTTTCGACACGTTACTTTGATTGTTGGACAAGTAAATTTCGTTTTCGATAAATCAAAATTGAATCTTGAAAATGTAATAAATTCTATGAATATAAATGAGCAATTTAAATCCCAATAAGATAATGGAATCGACATCGATGTCGAAATCATCAAATCGACATTGAATCGACATTCATTCGACGTCGATTTTACTTTCATTTCTCACTGAGGATCGTTTGACTCGATTAATTTGTTATAATATGGTTAACAATACGTATTATACAAATAATTTGTATTTTTTTATAGAACAATAAAGCTATAAATCATAATGCCCACATTTTATTAATTGGTCTACAGTTTATATTACTCAATCATAATTCAATACTATGTAAGTAATAAATATATATTCGATGAAATAATGCAACGCGTTTTGAAACACACAATAATATGTTCCAATTACTTTTATTTCGCATTTCATTCTTATTAGACAATATGTTGAAAAACAATGGAAAATCAAACAGTTAAAAATTTATAATTTTCTTGAGTTACTTATTTGTCAAATTTCTTTCATAATTTAACATATTTACTTAGACTTATTATTATTCCACATTTTTTAAATTTGTAGCAATTAATTGTAAGTTGCGACTTTTGCGAAAACTAAATAGTTATTTATCCACACATTTTTACAAAAATAATAAAAATCTATCGATAAATAATTATTAATATTATTAAATATATTATTAATTATATGTATTTAATAATATAAATTCTTATTTCCATTATTATATAAAAAAATCTTTTAATTATAATAAATTAATATGTTAATATTTTGAAAATATTTTTTATAAGCATATAACGAATTTAATTCTTTTTTTCTTAAATATTAAAATTTATATTCTTAAATAGTATTATAAATCATTGCCATCAACACATCCATTAAGTTAAAGATGATACGTTTCGCAACAAAATGTAGACCGAAAGAATCCGAATAGATTAACCAAATAGTTTCTCTTGATCGTATCGAAGGTTAAAAATGTGTTATTTTTATGTTGCTATTATTTTCAAGGCTTTAGTTAGTAGTGTTCCTTGAGGGCGGCTAGAAATCTCATCACGAGATCACAACGTGATGCCAAATGCAGATTAAAAAAATGAGTGGCAAGAATCAAATTTAAATTTATTGCTATTTTACAAACAGGGTCGTCTTAATTTATAGGAGAATTTGCAAAATTACGTCTCTATAAAGGTTACATCAATAATTAATGATTCCTCAAATAGATTCTTGAAGAAAAGTGGAATTCTATCTTGCATACCCTTAAAAGCTGCAAGAAAATTTTTTAACAAACTCGGCGGATATACTTCTAGACATTTGTTTATTAAATGAAATTTAATTATATTATTATTTATATTATTTTATTATTGTTTAAATAAATCTATATGAATT